TAAGTATTTTTATAAAAGAAAGTAATTTGTGTTGAAAAATAATAATTAAAAAATAAATTATTAAAAAAAAGGAATTGTATTGAAAAAATAATTATTTTTATAAAACAAAGTAATTTTTGTTGAAAAATAATAATTTGTATTCAAAAAAAAGTATTTGATCTAATAAAAATTATATTATAAAACTGATTATTTTTAATGAAAAAAAAATTAATTTCTATTGAAAAAAAAAATCATAATTTATATAAAAAAAAGGATGTGTATTCAAAAAAATTTTTTTATTACAAAAACTTTCGAAAAGCAACCAATTAAGGCTTAATAACCTTTAAAGCACATATTTAATGCCATGCATTGCATTTAATTAAATTAACAACGAATTAATTACTTGTACCATTACCCTAATAAATTACTCGTAAACCAATTATTATACAATAACTATGCGGAACTTGAATTTAATCTGCAAATGATATGCTTGAGTTTAAACATTTATACATACCGCTTATATACATATGTACATACATATGTTTATACATATATGAAAGCGAAAATGCGAATAATTGTAGTATCCAACCGCTTTAATAAACTATTGCTAACTTAATTTAAGACCAATAATTTATACACACACTATAGATAAACGAAAACAAAAAATTAAGAATTCAAATCTGCATTGTTGAAGAATGAGAAGCCTCGGTCGGTTAATTTGCGAGTTTTTTTACGGTTAGAAAACGAAAACGTTAAATCAGCGCATTGAAAAGTATAAGTTAAGCAAAATATTGTAAAGCATTCACACCTGTTGCTACATACATACACGAATATGTACTAGTTACTACTACTAGTAGTACATTTAGCGACTTTAGAGCGGTGTAGTTAAGCGTTTTGTAGTTGTTAGTATGAATTTATTGATGGAAATATATCACATATGAATTGCAAGCAGGGACTAAAAGGTGGCCAAGTTATTGTAAACAGAAATCATGAAGTAAGAAATGACAACAACAAAAAATGAACTTATGAAAAAAGAAATTTATTCACTAAACATATAATACATATTAAACGATGAAATGACTTCAAAGCGTGTGAAAGAAGCGTAGTTATATAGTACGTATGCAATTTAAGTGGCATGGTTGCCATGTAGCACAAAACAAAAGCGCAGCGATCACAAATCATAACGGTTGATTGGTATTATTTTAAACAAACTAGCCTTTATATATACCTATATGCAAGGAAAATGAAAATAAAATTTATATGCACATTCTAACTGTTTTTTATACCCTTTTATACTGGAAATATGTACTGCGTATATTTAGAGACTATGTATTTGACAAATTTTCGAAAAGTAAATTTAATTTTTAAATTTTTGTTATACATTTTTCTTACTGTAAATATGTATGTACGGTTTGGCAAAAATTTCGGATTATTTCAATATCAGACAATGCTGAATAATTATATACATACATATTCATACGATTTTTTACGAATTTTTAATTGTAAACAAATGTTATAAAGCTTATTTCATATAATTTATTAAATTTTTTTTTGTCAATATAAACTTTATTTTCCTGAGAAATCGTTTATGCAAACTTTTTTGTGGCAATGTTTCTTACCATAATGCCAAATTTATTAATAATAAAGCAGTACTCAGCCTTAAAAATAATAAACCTACTATATTTCAATGAAAATTAGACAAAAAAAAAACAAAAATAAGTAAAATTAAAAAAAATTAATTAATTTCAAGGGGGTATTCTGGTCTAGACTCTAGAGGCATGAATTTCGGGTAATTTTTAAAGTTAAGTAAAAAATAGCAATTAATATTTTTAGTATCTATTTTTATTAGTATCTATTTTTATTATTTTTATAATGTATTAAATAACATTATAAGAATACAGGAAAAAATCAAAAATAAAAAAGTTAAAAATTTCAAAAATTAGCAGCTGAAAAAAATTCGCACGTGGCCATTCCCACGATTTCAACCGTTTTAACACAATATGAAACAAAATAAAGGTATATATTAACCTAAAATTATGTCGCAATGTCTGGTTCTTCGGAAAAGCTGCAAAACATTTTTTTATGCAATGGCGACTGCCTGAAAAAAAAACAATTTATGTAGCACTTTTTTTTGACTGTTGCCAATTTTAAAAATAGTAAAGTAGATAAGTCAATAAAGAAAACTCTCGAAACATTTTTAGATCAGAATCCTCCTTTAAATAAAATTCCTTGTTATAAAATTCGTAATTTTGAATCCAAATTTTTTTAACAATTATTAACTTTTTATTTAACCTTTCTTATTCCAAGACATATGAACTCAGTCAAGTATTTCTATATATAATATATTCGGTACAACGATAAAAACGATTTATTTGATGACCTTTTCGAAAATTTGCAATTTTTTACTATTTTTCATATCTTTTAAGACATTTATTTTGAAAAATAATTCGTAAACAGTGCCTTAGATTGATTGAAGTGAGATGAGCGCAACGGCATACACACTACCAAACAAAAAAAAAAAATTAGAGAGCAATAAAAGAAATTGTAGAGAGAGTGCGAGCGCTAACATAAGAGCAATATAAAAATGCAGCTGAGAAGTCAGAATAACTGCAACTAACTTAATTACCTATTTGAAAGAGAGTTTCAATTTTAACAGTCTGACGAATTACACTTTCAAGAAAAAGAAAACAAAAAAATAATTTGAAAATTTTTTACTCTGAACAAAATCGAATCCTCAGCTAATCAATCGTTATGATTTGTACTGCTTCCAGCAAAAAATATATAAATCTATTTTCATACGAACTATTCACTAGTAAACTTTTTCACATATATTATAATATACCCTATATATCTATGAAAATACTATACACTAACATTCCTGAAATCTAATTTGCTTCGAAACGAAAATTTTGCTAAAAACTATACCTATACTAAAAATATTTATAAAAAATATATTATTACTAAACTGAACGAAAAGAACGTATACTAAACTGTAACTAGTTTAAAAAATTAATAATATGAGTATTTAATTACTGAAAGAAGCGAACGGATCGAAAGAAATTTATATAGGAGCATATGTTTGGTGTCGGAAACACCTTGTCGAAACTTCCAAACTAGTTTAGCGTATGGCGTTGGTGACAATGTTTGCACTCATCGCCAGAAAATCACTTTATCCATACCCAAGTGCATATACCAATTTACTTAAGCACACACACAAACAGCCAAATGCAACGCTGCATTTTTAAGTACATATATTTACATACAAACAGATGTGCGTGCATATAAATCACTGTACCAGTACACCAACCAAATGCATTTATTGTAATGGTTTGCTAATATAAAATAAAAAATAGCAACAACAATAGCAACATATTTATTGTACTGAATAAAATTGAAGATATGATTAACTTTTGATAAGCAAAGACTTTTTGTGTGTTTTAACTTACATTAATGGTGGAAGTAATGTGGAGTAAGGGAAAGTTAAAATTTATGGAACAAAAATGAAATGTACATATTTATATCCAAGTGGGTATAAAATTATTATACAAAGATTTTTATTATTATTAATTATTATATAGTTTAAATGGAATTTTTGTTTAAAAAAAGATTTCACAAACCTTTATGCAGAGTTTGTTTGTTGAATTGGGAACGAATGATACCCAGTAAGCAATCAAATTAGTTATCGACTAGAGACTCATTAGATAACTGCCCAGCAAGTTGTGACTGCCAAGCCTTCAGTACATTAACAGACTAAGCGTGAATACTAACACATATACAGTGCGTAACTCCATTGTTGTAGGAGGGGAAATCTTCTGACTATGCCCTAAGTCGTATTGCGTTATAGATGCACCGCGTTCGAGATCATGGTCCGCCAGTTTTTATTGGGAGAAACTTGCGAAACAGGACGCCTAAAAATAAAACACAATTTATAAAATGTTAAATAATTTATTCAACAAATTATTAAAAATATTAAATTTATATTAAAAAAACAAGAAAAAACGTTAACTTCGGTTGCGCCGAAGCTATAATACCCTTCACAAAAACAAAGGCTCCTTACAAGAACTTGATTCCGAACGTTCAATTTGTATGGCAGCTATATGATATAGTGATCTGATCTGACCAATTTCTGTGGAGAATAATTTGTTGCCTTAAGCAATAACTCGTGTCTAATTTCGTGAAGATACCTCGTTAAAAAAAAAAAATTCCATGCAAGCACTTTACTTCGATCGTTCAGTTAATATGGCAGCTATATGCTATAGTCGTCCGATCTATACAATTTCTTCGGAGATTAGATTAATGCCTTAAATCATAATACATGCCAAATTTGGTGAAGATACCTCGTCAAATTAAAGAGTTTTCCATACAAGCACTTCATTCCGATTGTTCAGTTTGTATGGCAGCTATATGCTATAGTGGTCCGATATCAGCCGTTCCGACGAATGAATAGCTTCTTGGGGAGAAAAAGAAGTGTTCAAAATTTCAGATCGATATCTCAAAAACTGAGGGACTTGTTCGCGTATATACAGACGGACATGGCTAAATCAACTCAGCTCGTCACGGTGATCATTTATATATATACCTTATATGGTCTTCGACGTTTCCTTCTGGGTGTTACAAACTTCGTGGCAAAATTAATATACCCTGTTCAGGGTATAAAAAAAAATTTATATAAAAAAATTAAATTAGAATATAAACAAAAATTAAAATCACAAAGAAAAGAAAATAAAAATCAATTATAATAATAAACTAAAAATTAATTATGTTAATAAAATAAAAATCAATAAAATTAATAAAATAATAAATAACATGGAAAAGTTAAAACGTAGAGAAATAAAACCAAAAAAGGAAATTAAAAAAAAAAAACTGATACAAAACTTAAACTTAAAAATCTTAAAAAGTCAATATTTATAAAAACAGTTTTTAATATCCTTAGCTTACGTCTCAGGGTCCACGATTAAAATTGAATTATTCTATAAACATGCACATTTAACCACCACCTTCTCTACTTCTTCTCATTACAGAATCTCATCTGCTGCGCTGCCGATGTGCTAGAAGGTAAGGGAGCGGTGCAAGTAGCCATTACAGTTGGTGAACTCTTCCGTCTGCACGCTAACGGTGCCACAGGCAGCGGCACAGGAGCCGGTGGCGTGTCGTCGAAATCACCGACGAGAGCCACACGCGCCACATTATCACCATCGCCGGTTGTCTAAACGAAATGAAAAGAAAAATGTGTAGTAAAATGAAAGAAAAATCACTTTTTACGAAAAAATAACGCGAAATGTGTAAAGTTACGACATGTTTGTTTGTGCGGAAAAAAGTGAAGTTACAAATGCATGCGGTAGCTTTGCTTTTCAAGCCAACAGCTTACGTAGCGAAAAAACGACCGCGCGCACGAACTTTTTCGCAAATAAACCAAATTTTGAATGAAAGTGAAAATTTGAAATAACGAAATTTTACAAAATTACAAAATCGACGACGATGCTAAATGGGTTCCTCGACAAAATGGAAGTTGTGAATGTGAATTTCTTATTTAAGCAAATTCATTTAAAAGTTGCTCGCATGCGAACAAGTAGGATAGAGTTATTTTTATAGTTACCAAAAAGTTTAACATGCAGATGTTTATGTAAGGTATGTACACACACACATACATACATACATACATATTACTGTAATGTAGTATTTTGAATTTTTGTAGAATTTGTTGAATATTTTAAGTAAGTGACAGACTGTTAAAGAATATTATCGAAATTTTTTTTTTAGGAATTATTTTATTGTACATAAAACGGACAAAATACCGTTAAAACACACACACACACAAACACTAATCACACAAAACTAATACAAACAAAGCAAAACATATACACCGTTAAGTACATTACATAACATACACACTTATTATTAAGTTTAAAGTACATAATTAATAGTCTTTGTACTGAAGCAAATGAAAAACAAATACCAAAAAAACACTGTTGTCACCTTTTCATCGATAATGTTAAATACTTTGCACTTTGTTTACTTCATTGTGTTATGTAATATTTTTTTACATTTGCCTCAATACTTACTTATGTATATGTATGTATTTAAATGCATATACAAACCAAATATACCTACAATTTAAGCTGTGTTTACAGATTTCACTAGTTTGCAACATAAAAGTCACTAATTTAGTTATTAGAAATTATTGTGAAAATTTTTTTATATTATTTATTTGTGAAACAAAGAGTGAAAACACACATTTTTTAACTAAGTTTAGCACTTAAATTACGCGCGTTTAAGTAAACGAAATAATATTAATAATATAAATTATATGTAGTAATATAGTAAGCATTTTAAAAAGCGTTAAGGGTATTCACAGTGTTGTTTGCATTGTTTAGTTGATTGAAAACGAGCATATGCTAAGCAAGTAATGAGAAGAAATGAGATTTGTTGTTGAGTAGGAGTGCTAAAAATTCAATAATAGACGCAAGAGATGTACTGTTTTAAGGCGAAAAATTATTTTAAAGCATTTTGTTTTAAAATTTTCTGCACCCAGACTAAAAAATGTGATCTCTTTAAACGAAAATGAAAAATTTCGTACAACTTTAAAAACTAAACAAATTGTAAGTTTAATAACAATAAGTCTAAAAAATTTGGATTAATGATCTTTAAGTGCAAAAAAATATTTTTCGTTTATTTTCAATATTATTTCTCACTTGCCAACCAACAAAACAAAATATTAAATTTTTTTGAGTAACTTTAATAAAACCTAAAAATTAATATCACCCAGTTTAAAAAAAAATGTGTATGAAAAATCTTTAAATCAGAAAAAAAAAAATTTTATTCATAATATATATGTAACTTCACTAGCAAACCAAAAACAAATTTGTTCTGCTAACTTTACAAGCAATTCAATATTAATTATTCAGATTAAAAAAGGGAGTTCTTTAAAAACGATTATTTTTTATTTCTAGTATTTTTTCTCCCTTGCAAACAAAAAATAATAATTATGTTAAAAATACTAGTATCATTCAAATAATGTAAATTAAAGATCTCTAACTACGAAAAACAATTTTTTTTTTCAATATTGTTTCTCAATTTTTTTTCACACTTGCAAAACAGCAAAAAAAAACTTTTTTTTTTATCTCTTTTCGAGTAAATTTGCTTTGCTTATTTCATCTTGGAGTAATGCTTATGTAAGTAGTATATACGAGTTTTTAATCAACTAGGGAAACAAAAAAAATACTGTGAATACCCTAACACTAATGTTGCATTTGTCACAAACACGAACACAAAAGTGTGAGCGCAAAACTTACTCTTCATCATTAAGTTTTACAACTACTTAACAAATCTCCCTTTATAAATGAACCCACCTTTACGAGAACATCTATACCTATACATATATTTACAGTGTGTTTCATAACTATAAAATAAGTGTGTATTTTGAGATATAACTGCTAGAGAAATTTTGAGTAACTGTTTTTGGTGATATGAAAAAGTGCCGTTGTTTATTCTCGCATTTTGAAAGAATTACTAAATTTTGCTCTTTAAGAAAACTTCAATATTGAAAAAATATTTTTGTAGATCTTAAGATTGGCCTGATTTCTTACACTTTTGGGCAAAACAATGGACCCTTTCTAATGGCGCGCAGTTAAACGAGGAACAAGCTATAAAGAATCTCGGAATCCTATATAATGTCGATTTGCTCACATTTGTCACCACTAGGGATACTATTGTAACTTAATGCAACTGATCGAATCGATTAGAAGCGATTAAAACTTTTTAATGTAGGCCCATACAATCTCTTTTTGCTTGTATACATTTTAGACTAAAACTATTGTATAGAACATGAGTTACAGCGTTCTGAACACTCCCGCCTTGTAAAAGTGGGCTCCCCAAAAGAAAAAAAAATTTGTATTTTGCGTTTTTTGTTTTTTTCCTATAAAAAATCGAAATTTTGGAAACTTTTTATTAATAATATCTAGTTAATACCATGCGTTTACAGCGTTTTGAGATCCGATGGAGAAAAATGTGTTTAAAGTCCGCAACTCACCGCTCCGCACAGCTCTTTTTTCTAACTGCTGTATCTCTAAAACGACTTCGAATTTTAAAAAGTCTCTTTACTACTGTATGCTAGACATGTTAATGAGCTCATCACATGTGATGACACACTTAATTCCATAAAAGAGAAACTATTGTCAAAATGAATGAGAATAAAAAATAGTACTCTTTCAAATTTCTATAAATTGTAAAAGGTGCTTCCTAAAATTTTTCTAGCAGCCATATTTGAAAGCACCTAACTTCTTTTATAATTACGAAGCGTAGCCTATACAACTATTTATAATTACATCACTTTTGCATTTCATATTTCTTTTTATATTCATATCTCTTACCATATTCATCAACGATTTTTAGTTACTATTTATTAGCCTAACCTCTAGCGTCTCAAAAATCTCATTATTTTCTACCTTTTCGCTCAAAAATGTCGCTATTACAAACTTTAACTTACGAAAGTATAAATATTTAAGCTACTTTAAAGCGATATATTATATTACGAAAAAGTAAAATAAATTAATTAAATAGCAAAGCAGAATGGCTCATTGCGTAGTGTTTTAGTATATATTTATGCATAGTCTTAAGTAATCGTAGCGATTTTTTGCATGCAAACCAATTGTATTGTGTATGTTAATCAACAAAATCTCGTCATTATACAAGAAATTTATTTAATTACCAATAAATAAGCGAATTCGTAGAAAATAAATGAACTATGCATAAATATCGATTATTGCAAGCAAACGAATTATTCAAAAGTGTCAAATGTTAATAAAGCGAAATGTAAAATGTAACGGAATTCATAGTAAATTTGTTGTCTTTTTTATTTTCTTCGTATAACGTTGCCGTTAGTATGACCAAAAACATCGATACTTCCTAGCTTACGAAATTTTATCGCTCTCAGCTGTTTCGGAAATTAAAACAACCGTGAATTTGCTCAGCGATCATTTCGGCGTGTTCGTAAAAGTTCTCACTCGTCTGTTTCTAACCAATAATTACCATATTAGACCATGAACAACTATAGCTGCTATACAAACTGACCGTTAAAAATCAAGTTCGTTTTGGGAAACTTTTTTATTTTGTGAAGGGTGTTATAGCTACAGTGCAAGCACAGAAATTCACATCAAAGTCGTTCAATATCTCCGGAAGCGCTGTTAGTTTGATGGGTCGTTGTGTACCATAAGTAAAAAGGTCTCTTAATTTAGTTTTGCCTTTGTCTGGACTATATATTGTGGTAAATTTACTCTAACGTAACGTCTTTTAAGTTTGTCTAATTTGCTAGACATTTAGTCCAGCTTCTGCGTCTATTTGTAGAGTCTTATATCTGTGTATATTTTCGAACTACTGATGGCAGGATTGCTCATGGTACAAATACACACCTTCTCAATCGGCACTGGACTCGGTATCGGTACTGGACTGGACTGGTACTGGACTACTGCTTTGAAAAAAACCTTTTCTTATATTGGTCTAAAAATGATGATTGAATCCAGCTATTGCACATCTGTGGTATAACCGTATAACCTTGTTGAGGTTAGTTTCTGTGGCTAAATCTCAAGGTGGTCACTTAAATGACTAAAGAAACCAGAAAATTTCTGTAGTTATAACCCACTTATTGACAACCACAAATTTCCTTATGCATTCGATTATAAAGTGCCGCGCGTGATGCGTATAAAATCGTGTGCCCTCATTTGTAGATATGGTGAATCGCGGTACTATATATATAGGGATTGTATTCTTATTCCATTTCTCAGTATTTCACATTGCATTAAATTAGCAATAAATAAAGGGTGTTTTTCCAGACGCATGATTCAATACTTTTTTCGGTGTTGGTCTATTTGACAGCTGTTATTTAATTTATACTCAGTTTGGTTAGCTAATTCATAATGAAGGGACCCAATCTGGAACAAGGTTTGCAAATCGGCTGAAAACGAGATGGCCACCGATGTTCAGCGATGAAGCTCACTTTTGGTTGAATGGGTATTTCTTCAAAAATAAAGCCGGCCATAATATTACAATCAATAAGGATCGTTATAGAGCCATGATTAATGAATTTTTCTCAACTGAATTTCAGCCAGCATCTCACTCTATAACATATCGAAAGCGGTAGAATAAACGCTGCCGAATTAAATGTGTCAACAAACCGTTATCGCAGCTTAACAATTATCTGATTTTTATTGTTGTTATCATTCAATTTTCAACTGCTTGACCTCAACTTTTTCCACTTCTTTTGAATTACACCTCTGCTATAGTTTATGTTGTTGTACTGTTAGTGTTGTTGTTCTGTTTTTATTGTATTATCTCTGGTCTGTCGTGCATCAAAGCGATTAAAATCGAATAAAAGTTAAAATTTGAATTTAAATCACAGAGAAGCCGCCAAGCGGTGTGACGGCAATAATTAACGGTATTAAATAATTTGCTGCGGACTTTATTTGCTGTCCAACGGCGGCTGCCAGGGAGAGGCGACGCAGACACAACATATGAACAAGAGCTGGGGAGACTAGCTCTGGCATTAAAGCAATGTTAGAAATATAAAAACACACACACACACACATACAAGGCATTTATAGAAAATACTAAGATTGTGTGTCCCAAATTATTTGTTGCGCGACTGCAAGGAGGGGCGTCGGCGGCGTTCCAGCACAGAAGGCGGTGCAACACGCACACACACACACACTCACCCAAGTAACCAAAAGAAATGAGGGACATCGCATAGCAATAAAATATTCTCATAAATTATAATTAATTAATAAAAAAAAAATTATAAATATGATAATCGTCGTCATCACCATAATTACGGATATCAGCGTTGTTGTTGTGCGCAGTCGGTGTCGTTGCCGTTGTTGTTGCATAGTTGTTGAGAAGCATATTTATTGGCTTTGTTGTTGTTGTGTTGTAGACACGCTTGTCCCCAGCGCAAGCAATGAACTTCAACAGATGTTGTGTTGCCCACAAATTCGTGGAAAATTTGAAAAACAAAAACCAAAAAAGTAAAGAAAAACTAAAAACAAATTAAACGGAAATCATTGCGATTAAGCAATAAAATATAGCAAAAAATGATAATAAAAGAAATTGCAAAAATTAAAACTCAAAATGAATACAACAACTAATTAAAATACTGTTAAGCGTTTCAAGATGGTTTTAGGAAATATTAAAAATTGTCTAATAAATTTGCTGCGGTGACACACTTAATGACAAAAACTTTGCATAAAAATCCTAGAAAACCATATGACTTATAAAAGTGACAAACGAACGATTTAAAGCACAAACAAATATTGCTGCTAACAAATTATTGCTTGTATTTATTGGTCAAGGTAGAAAATTTGTTTAATAAGCAGGTCGAATTTTATTTTTTCATATTAAGTTTGCTAAATTTTATTTTTATTGGAATCTTTAATGATGAGGGCGTAACCACTTAAATTATACTTCGCTACTTTCTCATATATGCTGTTGTTTTTGTCGATACTAATGTAAAATGTGCACATTAGTGTCTATGTGTTGTTTCAAAAAATTACGGAAATTATCGTTTTAAAAAAAAAAAATTTTCATTCGTCTACATTAATGTAGTCGCCATCAAAATACTCCCCATTCCATATTCTGCAATTATGCCAGCACTCCTACGAATCGTCGAAACACTTCTCAAACCCGATTTTTGGTACAGCTCTTAGCTCCTTCAGCGATTTTCATCTATCTTGTAAAACGACGGCTCTTTAAGGTTCTCTTTATTTTTGGAAATAGAAAAAAGTCACACGGACCCATGTGTGTCGAATATTGTGGCTGGGACATCCTTACAGTGTTGGCTTTGGCCTACAATTCACAAACAAATTCTTTGCTCCATTTCTCTCTTTTCAGCAACCAATTTTAAGCTCTCAATTTTTAAGGCCCATATTATGGTATATGCCTTGTAGTCGCTTTTCAAGGTTGCCCTCTGCCCTTACTTCTGTCATCTATAGGTGCTGGTAACGGCTTCCATATATGTATAACAAAATTATATACAATACAAATTTATACATACATATATAGCCAAGTCTATTAAAACAAAATGTTTCGAAAATACCAACTTCTAACAGTGGTGAGGGTGTTACATAACATTATGTATTGGGTATGCCGAATATTGATATGCAAATGTGAATGCGTGATCGAAGACAGTGCAACCGTTATTCCATTTTGTAGTAGTATTGTAACAAAGATACAAATTTCGAACTTTCTATGCTCGAATTCGAAACATGATTATTGTTATAAAAAACTATTATAATAAATTATAAGAAACGCGAACGTTATAAAGTCTTTTATTTCGGTTATAAAGTGGTGTGTTGCAATCTTATGCACTATCTTTCTTGGTTTCGAAGCTATGGGCTTTCTATCTTAGGAAGTCCCTCAGGTCTAGGAAGTCCCTCAGACCCTCAGACCTAACCTAGGCAAGTCCATATATATTTATAGATCAATATATAAATATATAGATATGAGATCAAGTCAGAATCGAAGAAAGAGCTGATGGCCATACCGAAAAGCGCATATCAGAAGTGCTTCGAGGATTGGAATAAGCGTTGGCACAAGTGCATCCGAGGGCGATTACTTAGAAGAGGACAAAATAGATATTGATGAGTAAACAAGTATTTTTCAAAAAAATTCAAAATTCCTCTTCTCCTTTGAACACATCTCGTATATACATATGATATCCTAGAGTTCCTAGGTGGAACAAGTCCATAGTAATAAAACAACCTAATACTTTTGGAATTTGTGCCAACATTTTTTTAATTTACACAGTGCCATTCTAGGAGTGGAACTGCAAATATCTACTTGCGTGAGCCTAAATCTTATATAATATAATTTTTGTTCATTCAAACTAGCCACTTTTTTTTACCAAACTATATATGCTTGAGTGTTGTTGCCGGCCAACGACAATCGCGCTCTTATAAAAATGCATAAAGCCTCAAAACGCCCATTTTCATTCACAAATTCCCGACACATTGCGTGTTGACACGGAGTCTGCTTCTAGCCATAAAATTAACGCACAGGCAACCGAACACCCATAATACATGTGTGTGTGTGTGTGTGTGTTTGTGTATTGGTCTTAATGTCGGTGCTGGCCACTCAGAGCATTTAATAGCTGCTTCTTCGGTATGCGCATGTTTGAATTCCATAATTTTGCTCCTCCGCCTTTGCGGCTTCTTGCTGTCACTTTTCAATCCTGGCCCACCAATCAACTATCGCAAATTAATCGAATTTGCCTTCAAGTCCTCTAAATGATTTGTATTTTAATTTTTATGCAGATGCTGCGGCTGATAGGCAACCGGTTGGCGATTGCTTTCGAGATAAATATTGGGTATCAGTTGCTGCTGGTGTTTAGCCGAACTGCTGCCACTCTTACACCGTTAGCATACCAGATATTCGCTTCTATTGTTGTTGTCTTTTATTCTTATGAATGTGCGTGTTGATAATGATTATTGTAATTACAGAGCTACTGCTGAATTTTTATTAAGCTTAAGGTGGAGCTGTTATTGTTGTTGTAATGAAATTTGTTTGTTGAAAAAATTGAATTGGTTGAATTTTATATTAAAGAAGCTTAGAAACAAGAAAAGTGATGTGATGTATAAGTCTTTACAGAAGATTTGCTGTTATTTAAAATATGTTTGATTTGCTCTTCAAGTTGCACGAAACGTGATTCTAGTTACTGCCAAATAATTGTGGATAAATATGGTTAAAGGTACCTAGGTCTAATATAATGAGCTAATAAAAACTTATCTAATACTAGACCTTTCAAAATAAGCAAGAAGAGCAACTAAGGTTGAGAATTTTACTTAAACTTTCAT